AGTAAAAAGTGGAAATTGAAAAGTGGAAAAATTACGGAATCGACCCCCCAGTAAGGAAAATTCAATTTTGCTACAGCTTCTTTTTTTCATACACTGCGTATTCTCCACAGTTTTTCCACATTTCAGTATACCAATACAGAATCTTTTTTTTGCGATTAGAAAAATCTGACAAGCTACAGTTTGTATTTTTTTCCCTCCTATATGAGAATATTCGGGCCCTTTTTTTTTTTCTTTTTGAGAGAGAATCGCAACCAGAGGGGGATTGTATGCAAATTTGCGCGGTAGCCGTGCTACTTGAACGCGTCGCCTTTTTGAGGGGCATGAAGACTGGCAGGGTAAGATTCGTAGAGAAGAGCCCGCCGGTGTCTTTGAATAAAACATCTTCGCGAGAGGAATTTTCAGACTGAGATACACGCCGGACTATATATGTTTGAAGGCAAAACGGACACAGCAGCAGCAGCAGCCGGGGAATTGTTAAGTACACGTCGCACCAGCTGATGCTAATTAAAATGAGACTCACTTTAGATGCTTGGGTCGTTTATTTCCATCGTATATTCGCCTCCAAGTTGAATCCCTATATACTTTCTCTCTCCTATCTCTCTTTCTCTCTTACTCACTCTTGTCTCAACTCCAGAGAGTTGCCCGACGGCTAAGAATATAAAGATCCTACTTAGCCTCGTGGGTAGATCATCATTTCGTGCCACTGTTTTTATAGGCATCAGAGTATATAGTAGTCCTCTGGTCACGGTTTTTCGACCTCCAGAGGCTAATAACAATTTTAACATTAATTCATTTGTTAGCGTCACTTCGCATAATAGTTTCGTTCAAGAGATTATTCACGATTTCTAATTTTTTTCACATTGAAAAACACTTTTCTCTAATTCTTTCCACTTTTTTTTTTTATTATAAAATACTTGCGCGCTGCAATTGAGTGAAATAAAATGTTATATCAGCAAAATCGTCTTAATTAAATTTACTGCCCATATTAATTTATCTCTCTTTCTTTTGTGCGATACATGAATTCCAATTATTTCTTGTACGTTATGCCATAAGAATTTTAAGAATTGTATATGTGTGTGTATATATACATATAGCTTTAAAATCTTGATAAGAAGAAACACTTTTAATTAAGACAAAAGCAGACTTATGAAATTGACTTATAAATCTTAATTGAAAAGTCGGATATATTTTTATTAGTGAAGAAACATCGTCGAAAGCTGATGGTACAGAGGTTATGAAGACCCTGAAGCAATAACAATAATCGTCGAACGTGCCTGATTGTTAATTGCAACCAGGATCCTTACGAATCGTTGAGAGGGAAAGAGAAAGACGCAACGTTGATTGCAAAAGGGGCACTACTATTGCTTTTTATGATCGCATCTTCAAAAAAGAGTAACCAGTTTAATGAATCCCTTCAAGCGCTAAACGAGTGGAATAAACACAATTTATTTTGTTTATTAATTATAGAATATTTTCAATTTTGTATTATAAAAATAACTTATTTTTTTCTTCTATTTCAAACTTCTCGATAATTTTTTGTGACATTTCTTTTGGAAAAAGAAGAAGAAATCGCTGCAATAAAGCACAAGGGAATAAAACGTTATAACAAACCTGGGAAAATCCTTGAAGGTATACTTCAAGTTTGAAAATCGATAATAAAACGATCGAGAAATCGCGGTTCGCACTTTACGATCTGCCAAAGTACCTTACGTGATTCCACTTAAGAGAAAGGCAAACCCTAGAGACTACTGTCGAGAAAGAAAAAGATGATCTCAAAAACAAAAGAAAAAAAAAAATTCTACCATGAACGCAATAGTATATATATATATATATATATATATATATATATATATACAAGAAAGCAGAGGCCTATAAAAGTAAATCGAAGATAAAGACGTTAGTGGGACAAACTTGGAACTACTTTGAGAATAAATATTTTTCAAACATCTGATCAAGATGACGTCTATAATGGTGTGTACATCAAAGAATGTCGATTGAATAATTATTGCGTGGGAAACAAGCAACAAAATGATCTAAATAAATCTTTTATATGTGATTTCTTTGCAAAGTCATTATTCTTGTAATAATTTTTAAAGTTAAATAAAAAAAAAAAAAAAAAATATTGCAACTGTAATGCGAATGTAGATTAAGACATTTCGTGGGATAAAACTCGTCTTAATAAATCATGATCTTTGAAGTGATAGTAGATCGATATGATGATATGAGAATGATGCATGGCGTGATGTTGGCAAGTTTCTCTTGGCACTATAAGGGTGACATCCTCACTCTTTGCAAATGTGCGAGAGGACAATCTACCTTCTGGCTTATTTCTTTTGCGTTCTTTTCTTATTTCTTTGGTTGTTAGCATAATTGACGGAGAGGACACTTGAAATACTACTATCATTCACCCTTCGTTGTCAAGAGTCTCACTTTGACATAACTACTTATTAAGAACCATCTTTTTGATCCTGCAGTGTGACTCCATTTATAACCAAAATGCCCTAAATTTTTTTTTCTTTCTGTATTGATAATTCTTTTTAATTCCTCTTCGATTTTGTTATACAATTTTTACATGACAAAATAATCAATTTACTATATAGGGTCAGATGGGGTAAATCCGAACGCTTTTAATAAATTTCAACAATAACATAAGTTTTTTTTCTTTTAAAAGACAATATTTCCGGTATTTTGGTGCATGAAGTTGTTACTTTACTTTCATATAGAACATAATTTTATGGGGTAGCAAAAATTTTTGATAAATTACAATCGCAGGAAACTTAGCGTTCGTATTTTGCTACTTTCCTAAAATACCGGGGTAAATACGAACGCTACTGTATTTCAGAAAAATCTTAGGGAAAATAAATTTAAAGTATTGTAATTGTTAAACTTATATAAAAACTCAAAAAAAAATACGATAATAAACCTATTATGTAATAATGCATCATTTATATAAATACAAAAATCAAACAGGTTAAAAATTAAAATGCATTATACAATTAAAACCTTCAATAACTTTATCAAATCATAACGGATTTTTACAAAATTCGGTACAGAAAGTATTTTGGAGTGATTGAATGTAAATACAAAAATAAAAGTCAAATTTTTCAAATTCAAAATGGCGGATTCAATATGGCGGACTTTTCTAAAACTTATTTTTAAAAATGATCAAATTTGCTAACTCCAAATTCGTAATCAGCGACTCTGAAACCCCTCTAGTAACAATTTTCGAGCGAATCAAATGAATTTTTTAATTCTCGTCCGCCATATTGGATCCGCCATTTTGAATTTTGAAAAACTGACTTCAAATTGGTAAATCAGCGACTCCAAAAATCCTAGAATACCAAATTTTATTAAGATCCTGAAAAACTTTTTTTAACAAACCATTTGGCAAAAAAAGTGGAACACTCCTTCGACTCTCTAAATCTGAATTAGTAAAAATGTTTACTAATTTGAATTAGTTACTCACTTCTTGCTTCTGAATTAGTTAAATTTTACTAATTGTTAGTAAAAGTTACTAATAATTAGTAAAATTTTACTAATTCAGAAGCAAAAAGTGAGTCACTAATTCAAATGAGTAAAGATTTTTACTAATTCAGATTTAGAGAGGAGAGAACAGAGATTAAGTTTCTGCTTATTAATTACTAACGAGGATACATATAGAAAGAAAAACTTTTTTCTATGTACTTTTATAATGTTAAAATAATAATGTAATCAAATAAAAACAATTTTTGATATAAGAAAAAATTATTGAAAATACCGTTCGGTTTACCCCGGTTTTCCAATTTTCCGGGGTAAATACGAACGGTCTGATATTATTAATAAAATTTTACAGAAGGCAAAAATCAAAAAATAGTTTCTGTTCTAGTATTCATAACAAACAATTATAAATAATAAAATGAATTTTTACTTTCTTTTTCTTCAAATACGAGACAAAATACTGAAAGAGTGTCATCTTTGATTTTCAATCTTTTTTGCAATACTCGTTATCTTTGTTTATGCTATTGCTAATTAACAAACGAAAAATGGGATAATACTTAGAATCTCTTGAAGAGGATATGAGATAAAAATTCTCATGTCTAACTTATTTTTTAAAATTTTAATTAAGCTGAAATAATTAGCGTTCGGATTTACCCCGGCTTATATAATTAGATTTTCCTCTGAATATTGCTCCAAAAGAAATTCCTCTATTGTCAAATAGACAGTTTTCTTAAACAAATTTTCTAGTCACAAAAGGATTTTATTTTATTCAAACACCAAAATGTTACCAAACGTTTCTTACTTACTCATATTGACGATACGATGAATTTGCGTCCGTCGAGTATCTGCAAAAAAATACATTTAAAATTATTAACTTTTTTTTAGTTCTGAATGTTTAAAAATTAAATCTAAATCACATCTCAATTTGCAATTAAATGAAATAAATAATTTTTATTATTTTACAATATAAGTATTATAAATTATTTTTATCCTGTTTTTGTTTTTTTTTTATTGTTATTATTATTAATTCAACTCGCCATTCAATTTACACCAGTGACTTGACGTTTCGACTTCGACAAACGAATATAAGGGGGTGGGAGGAACACGGCATGGTGAAAAATCATTTTTAAACTCTCCGAACGACTATCGTTGTTTTGATTAGAAAGGATTTCATTCGGGAATTAAAAAAATGACAAACAAAAATTTACGGCTAAATTAAAGAGAGTTTAATTAAAACAAAAGCATGAAAAAAATTGCTTTTCTCGACACAGGAAAAATGTAGAAAAAAAAAATTGTCTTTTTAGTATACAAAATAATAATTTTTAAAATTAATTTTGAAAGCAAAAAATAAGTCATTAAAAATATCAATTATATCTTATTTAGTATTGAAATATTTTTATAATTATTTCAAAGCAATCACTATTTATCAGTGCATTAACATTTTATTGAAAAATTTTCATTACAGTAATTTTCCATTTCTTTAATTTGATAAAATTTTCAATAACATTTATTATTAATTTTAGATGAATTCTTGGATTCTTTTATTTTTGTGCCTTTCAATTGTCGCTGTAGTCAATTGTGCCCGTCACGAGGGCCGTTATGGAGACTGCTCCCCTATTGGTAGAACGGTAAGTTATTTAATATTATAAATACAGTAACCTATCATCGTTATTTTTAAATTACCACCACGTTAAATTTTTAATTTTTAAAGAACTTAAAATTATAAAAAAAATTTTTTTGTAAAATATTAACTTAGCCTATAAGAATTTTTATTTCTAAAACATTTTGTGATTTAAATAACACTTATTTTCAAATTTTTAAGTGTCAATTGGATCATCACTGCTGTCCAAACCTGGAATGTTTTGTAAGTGAAAAAAGATAAGGAAGAAGAAAAAATTACTTTTTTTTTAAAGAGAGGCCAATTGTTTTATTAAAAAATTATAAATAGTATTCGAATTAAATGTTTAATTTTTAATTCTTAGTACTATTCAAAAAAAAAGATGAAAGTTATAAATTTGATTTTTTTGAATTAAAAATTAATGATGCCTCAAATAATTTTTATTATTTAGATAAATTTAATCTCTAATTTTGGATAATTTAATTTCTCATTTTAAGTGTAAAAATGGTCGCCGATGCTGTACTGAAGTGTCATGCCAAATTTGGCCTCATAAAAAAGATTTGAAAATATGTCGAAATAAAAAACAATGCTTGGAAGTACAAGGAGGAGGAGAGGTAAAAATTAAAAAAATTCTTCTACTGTTAAATCTGTATTCAAAATAGAATCAAAAGTTTAAAAAAATATTTTTTTTAGTAAAATTAGAATAGTAAAATTTCTAATTAATTTCACATTTTTTTATTTTGTAGTGTCTCACTGATGATGAATGTTGTAACAAACACCACTGCAATACAACAACCAAACGATGTGAGAAAAATTAAGATAAAAAAAAGGAAGCCTTATAAATTCCATAATTTGATAAATAATAACTTTGTAACAATTTTTTTTAATAGAAGTTTTCTTGTAAATCGAATATTGTAAACAATAAAGAAAAAAAATTATTCTTATAAAATTTTATTTTATTTTCCATATAAAAATTCCTATTTTTATCAAATTGATAAGGTATACAATTAAAAAAATTATTTAACGTTTTAGAAAAAGGTGTCTTGTTCTTTTTTTAAATTATAATACAAAGCGGAAATTTTTTTTAAAAACTTACACTTTTGAAACAGGAAAGTCGTTTTTGTTTAAACATTAATAAAAAGTAATAAAACATCGTATATAAACTGAGAAAAATTTTTATTCAACATCAATTTCAAATTTGGCTCTGCAGAATACAATCGATCTGAACAATAATAGAATAAAGTAAACTTTGCTTATCTTAATAGAAAAATAATGTAAAAAAATATTTAAAAAATTCTTAATTGTATTAAAATTTAATTAAATAAAATTTGTTTAATTAGATGAAAATTTCGATTCTTCTAATTTTGTGTGCTGGACTTTTTATCTTAGTCGTTATTGGTCAAACGAACGCATGTATCTCTGAAGGTTCACCGGTAAATTATTTATTATTTATTTAATTTATTATTATTATTTATTATTATTATTTTATTTTCAAGTGTCACAGAGATTCAGAATGCTGTCAACGACTCAAATGCAAGGTAAGGGAAAAAAGATGAGAAAGAAGAGAAAATAATTTTTTTTTAAATGAAGCAAGGAATATAATTAATTTCAAATTTAATAAATTCTAAATAATTAAAATATATTACAAATTAAATGAATCAATTAAAATGAGATCTCATTAAAATATAATATCATTCTTTTATTAAACAATTAGAAATAATTTGAGAATTAAATTTTTGATTTTTATTTATTAGTGCCATATAAAAAGATGAAAATGAAAAAATTTTTTTGTTTTAAATTAACAGTAAATCATGTTTTTAATAATTTTTTTGATAACAATTTAAAAAAATTTAATATATAATTTCAAGTGTGAAAACGGTCGCCAATGCTGTAAAAATTTGAAATGCACTTTAGGGTCTGAAAGGGACCTGAAATTGTGTCAATTTATGACAGGATGCCAGGAAGTAAGAGGAGGAGGAGAGGTAAAAATTTAAAAAATTTTCTAAATGTTGAATCTGTACTCAAAATAGGACAAATGTTTAAAATAAAAATTATTCTTTTTTTTACTAAATTAGTATAGTAAAATTTTTAATTAATTTCACATTTTTTATTTTGTAGTGTCTCACTGATAGTGAATGTTGCAACAATCACCGCTGCAATAGAACGACGAAAAAATGTGAAAGACGTTAAAAAAAAAATTAAGTCTTCCAATTTCTTTTTTTTTATTCATAAAATATTATAAATAAAAAAAAATACAACATTATTTTTCTTATGTTTAATTTACTTTCAAAATTTGCGACCATGATTTTGTTTTTCCATTAATTTTTCCTAATTAAAAAAATTCAAAAAGGCATTTTTGCAATTTTTTTTTATACCGCCTTTTATCAATGATTTAAAGGACCGCCGCGGTCTATTAGTGGTTTCTACATTTATAATTTTAGGAGTGAAATATTTTTTGATAGGTTAAATTTAAGGTTATATAATCTGAATCACGAAAGGGAATTAGTAGCCCTTCAGATTTCTAAACCGGCGTTTCTAATCTATGACATCCGACAAAGTGTTCGCATAAAAGAGAGAGAGAGAAAGAGAGCAAAATGAAAGACGTGCCTATTTAGTGCCAAATGAGACTTTAATAATGCGTCATCCACATGGTTTTTGAAAGCTCAAAATTAGACTTCTTGAAAATTCACATTGTGAATTGAGTTAGCAATTAATTTCGATTTAGCGAAACACAATAGTCGACAGGATGATGATATATATTTAGAAAATTTTATCGTTACTTTTCATAAAAAGTTATATATTTATTCTTTTTATCTATCCTCAATTTTACACTCTTTATAATCCAATTTTTATTGTCAGAGTAAATTATAAGGTTGAATTTTAATATCAAAATAGATTAAAATAAAATAAATTTAAATAAAATAAAATTTATCAATCGAAGATTAAATTAAAATTGTCAATAATTTGAAGATGAGAGTTTTTTTGTAGTTCCACACTTACACCGCTAGGTGGTGAGAATTTTCTCTCCTACAGTCGAGATCAGTATTGAATACTATATAAGAGCGGAGACTAATTCAAGTTGTAAAAGCACAAATATTTTTTCTTTTCAGATAAATTGCAATAATATTATTTCATTTTCGCCACATTTTTTCTTTTTTATGTGATTTAATTTACAAAAAAAATTAGCAAAGTAATTTTTATGGAAATTAATTTGATTTTCCTAAAAAGAAAATTTTTCGATTTTCTTTCTATTATTTATTCATCGTTTTTCGGATTTAAAATATTTATTTTTATTTCAGTAAATTTTTTGATTTTCTCATTCGCAAATCTCCCCGTAAAATTATTCCAAGAACTAATTTCGAAGCAATATAGACAAGTATTTGGGATGGAAAAAGTGTTAAAGATTCAATTAATTTACTTTTTTAGTTTCAGAATCATTTACCTCGTCTCGACACTCTGGGGTCCTAATAAGGCCCATCAAATCCCTTTCTTTAAACTGAAGGCCTCACGCCATTACTCGCTCCTTTAGCTATACATCGATGAAATTTTTTTTTTGCCCCGGTTATCAAAGTCGAGTTAGACAATGTAATGGCGTTCAGAAGGTAGGAAAGGAGCTTTAATAGTAAGGGAGTTCATTAATTATCAACCTGAAGGGGTCTCTCTCTCTCTCTCTCTCTCTCTTCCTCTTACAATGGATCCTCCGTTCAAAAATCTCGACCCACTATACTATATATATACTATATATATACTCGATTGCTATCTAAATTGGGCGCGATATATTCCCGAAGATCAAATTTTTTGTGACTATTTTTTCACATCGCCATCAATAATTTATAAAGAACGCCATATACTTTGCGGCAATGATGGCAACAAATGATGACAGAAAAAAATTGTTCCATTCTTAAGTAGCCCTTGTTATGTCGCATATTAGACCTCTTATAAAATATTCAATGTCAAAAACCGGACTTTCGAAGGCAATTTATTTTATATTCGCCCCCCTTTTCTTTTCTTTCATCCAACAAATGAAAAATCTTTTTATTCTTTTCTACAAAAAAAAAATAACATATTTTTTATTAAAAAATTCCATTTTTTTTATTAAAAAATTCCATTTTTTGTTTCATTAATAATAATTTTTTTTCTATTTATTAGAGAAAGAGATTAGAAATAAAATTGAATAATAAAATGAATTTTAAATATAGTTAAGATAATGTCAAGTATAATACATATGTTAAAATAAGCCGCAAAGTATATTTGAAATGAAAAACCCCTTATACATATATATAGGTCTAACTTAAAATGTTCTTATCGACGATCGATTCGTCGATCGATATCCAAGTGAATCAAGATGAGATCTCAGGTGAAGCCGAAAGCGTAAAAGAGCTTCAGATCTCATCTCATCGAAAAGCGGTCCTATTGTTCTTCTTGGGGGCCACGCCTCGTGTCTGTAATTACAGACAGGTCTCCTCTCTCCGTATAAGGGGGAAAGAAGCGAGCGCCTTTTGATGCCTTGTTATAAAAGCCGATCCTAGAAAATGAAAGAAAGAGAGAGAGAGAGAGAGATGGGGAGAGAGGATGATGACTTTCGGCAAAATCGCGGCCTGGAATTAAAGATGCTTGATAAGATCCATCTAAACGTGCAAATAAAAAATCTTTATCTCTTCCCTGTAATTAACCATATTACAAAAAAAAACAAAAGAAAAAAAGTATTAAATTTCCAGTCGGAAGATTACAATTGTTTAGCATATCATCTTCAAGAACTGAATAATTAACACTATATACAGTAATAACAATAATAATAATAATAATAATAAAAAAATAACAAAATAATAAAAATAATAGTAATAATAAAAATTATAACCCTCATAACAAAAGGATATCCCTAGGATATCCATCGGATATCCATATCAATGGTCGATATCCTAGAATGGTCCCCAGGATATCTTGGGATATCCATAGGATATCCAAACCGCCGGTCTGTGGGACATCAACAGGACATCCATAGGATATCCACAGGATGTCCCTAAGACATCCACAAAATATCTATTGGATATTGTATCGCAGGATATCCATGGGATATCCTCAGGATGTCCGTGGGATATTCTTAGGATATTCACGGGATATTTAATATCTCAACATATATTTTTAAAAGGTTAAAATTGTTAAGCTAATATAATGAATAATAATATAATAAAAACAAAAATATTATGAGTTTCTAATTTATTTTAAATGAAGATTTGAAACGCATTTTTCAAAGTTTTTAAATAAACTCATGCACTTAATGTATAATTAATATTAATAGTTATTCGTTATTTGCGGGGAAAAATTTATATTGTTTAAAGCCACTTTATTTTCTGACAATATTAAGCATATGAATAAAGGAATGAATCACGAATGAGAAAAAAATTAGTTAATAATTTTTCAAATTAAACAACTTTCTCGAAAAACAAGTTGCATTTTATTTTATTTATATAAAATTTAATTCACAAAATATTCCCACTCGTAGTCTCATAATGACTTTAAAAACAGTATCCTGAGAATATCTTCTTGACATCCAGAAGATATACTGAGAATATCCTGAAAATATCTGTGGGATATCCTGACGATATCTATGGGATATCCTGATGATATCTGTGGGATATCTGGAGGAAATTTATGAAAGTCTATAGAGATATCCAGAAGATATCCTGTGGATATCCTCAGATATCCAAAGGATATCCAAACCGCCGATTTTTTGGATATCCTTAAGAGATCCTTTTGATATCCATAGGACATCCCTAGGATATCTGCGGGATATTATCAATATATCCCAAGATATCTTGTGTTATTAGAGAAACAATTTTTTTTTTAATAAATTAACAAATGTAATTTTTTTCTAATTCTTTCTGCTTATTTACTAATAATTAAAAAAAAAAAAGATATACATTGGGTGGAAAATTTTTGATGATTTCGATAAAAAGAGGATTTTGAAGATTTAAAAATTTGAAAAACTGAAATTCATATATTGATTAAAAATTATAAGGTTTCTGAGCGATAATTACAGGATTTCTTTGATGTTATGAAGGAGATCTAAAAACAAAAGAAGATCGAAAACCGCGATATGGGTTATAAATTAGTGGTGAACTAGATTTCAGACATCAAAGTTAATTATATATAACGATGAGAATTACAAGGTACAATTTCTTTTCTAATCTTGTCTATTCGTCAAAAATTTAGCAAGATATATCATATAATATACCTTCTCCTCTCTATATACATATATATAAGAAAACCTATTTTTTTAATGATATATTAATACAATCAATCAAATTTTTTTTTCATTTCAAAAATAAAAAATGCAACTGGATAATATTATTTTGAATTACTCGGCAGTATTTAATATATTGAGACAAAATTTCCAAAAATCGAAACAAAAAAATTTTTTTTTAATATAAATTTTTTTTGCAAATTCTTCAAAAGCTTCTTGCTTCTAAAAATAAATTTGCAGCATTTTAAATAAAATTTAATTGAAGATAAGATATAATTAAATGATAAAATTAATAAAGCAGAATTATCTGTTTATCGAAGAGGAATTTAAACAAAATTTTATTATTCCGTATGTAAATAAATTTTTGTTCTTTTTGAAACTGAAAAAAAAATTAAATAATAAAAACTGAGGATTCGAATTCTACCAAATAAATAAAAATAAATAGTATAACATAATAGTAATATTAAAAAATAATATAATAATAATAAATAATAATATAAATAAATAAATTAAAAATAAATAAAAATTTGAAAATCTCCAAAATAGCATAAACATTTCTTTAAAAAGGAAATAATAATTGCCTAATTAAAAATCCGTAACCCATATGGTGTATCATTAGATTTTTATCTAAAATAAATTTTCACCAAAATGATACTAATGAAATGAGAATTTACCCTCGAGGTTTTTTTTTTTGGGATAAAATTATGTATTTCAAAAAAATTATATCCAATTTTCTTTTTTTTTCTTTCTAAAAATACTATTGAGACGGAAAGTTTATGTGACATAAACGATATGTATTTTCAACGTTGGAAAATTGGTTCGCGGGTCAAACAAAGCATTTCTATACTTTATGTGACATCTAATCATGGGGACCACCTTCGAGGCGGTGAACCACGAATGCAAGGACACCGCCTGCAAAACCTTTCTTTCTCTCTCTCTCTCTCTCTATACCTGCGGCTTGAAAATGTAATTCCCATGAGGTTATTGGTGTTACCTCTTACACCCCCAAGTGGTAAGTTATGACACTGGAAAAGTGTGTAAGTCACACATTTTCAGGACTAAAGCAATTCACAAGGGCGTTTCACATTGAACAAAAGGTATTTTCAGAATTTCGATAGTATAATTATTGTCCGAAATATTGGTTCTTTTTTTTTTTATTTTTCTCTAAGTTATGATAATCGAATTTAAAACTACTTTTCTCAAAAATTAGTGATACCATATGGCACGTGCTATTTTTCGTTTCTATTGTATAAGTAATAAACTAAAAATCTTTTACGTTATGATTTCATTTTAAATTATTTTTTAAGCCTCAAATAACGAGTGCTAGAGTTATTAAATGTTTCCATAGGATTCATTTTCGAAAATTTAGTATGTTACCTGCCAATAGAAATAAAGTATCCCATTTTTAAATTTCGAATAAAAAAAAATTCTAGTTAAAATAAAATATAATTATATTTTCAATAATAAAAGCATATTAAAAGAAATTCTAATTTAAAATTCTTAATGTATTTAAAAGCATAAGGTAAAATATTTCCTAAATGGAAAATAATCGTGTTTTTCCAAGAAGCTGTTCTCAGGTGTCAAAAAAAAAAAAATTGCAGAAGCCCTTGAGCAAAAACATGGCTACGAAATATCATGTTACTCTAACCTATATGCTCGACTTCGTATACCGTCAAATAGCCAGTAGCTGCTACACCTGAAAACTCATTCTTAACAATCTTTGGAATAAAAAAAAAAAAATGATTTTCAAGCCCTATACGGTTTTGTCGCGTTTGATCATTCGCCGCCAATATATATAACCTATCAACTATCGTCAGTAAGCTCTTCTCAAATTTCATTCGATAGTTTTTTGCCATCGTAAACGCGCCTTGTATTAACTTTTGATGCTTCCATATATATATATAGGACTCAAACCAATTAAGAGTCAAGTCATATAACATCTCTGATCTTTGAACTTCAACACGCAACTGATAGAGACAAGAAAAACATTTTTTATCTCGAATATGTTATAACCTCATTAAAAAAATCAAGCAATGGTTAATAAACTATACTATTGACATCTACTTTTTATATTTTTATCCATTAGTTATTTGCATATTTTCATATTAGTTCACCGCACTCTGTTATGTTGAGCACATTAACGTTCTTTTTTTAAATGTTCATTTCTTTGTCTTTCAATAATATTTTTGTAATTGTTTAATTAATTAGTATTTTTTTCTAGTTTGATTAATGTTACCTTGATTTACAAAGTGACATATATTTTTACAATATTACGGTGTAGGTGTTCGTATTACAGTGTAAGTGTTCGGTATTAAAAGTAAAAAAATTATTATTATTTATAATTTTTCTTTAATAACTTTTTTTTATTTTAAAAATTGTATAGCGCTATGGTACCGGTTACCATATGGTACCAGTGGCGCTATGGTACAGGTTGCTATGGTACCGGTTACTATATTGATCCGGTAGCGCTATGGTTCTGGTTACTATATGGAACCAGTAGCGCTATGGTTACAGTTATGCTATAGTACCGGTTACTATATGGTACCGGTGGCGCTATGATACTGGTTGCTATGGTACCGGTTACTAAATAGTACCTGTAGCGCAATGGTACCAGTTACTATATGGAAACGGTTGCTATGGTACCGGAGGCGCTATGATACTGGTTGCTATATGGAACCGGTAGCGCTATGGTTGCAGTTATGCTATAGTACCGGTTACTATATGGTACCGGTAGCGCTATGGTACTGGTTACTATATGGAACTGGTAGCGCTATGGTACCGGTTACTATGTGGTTCAGGTACCGCTATGGTACCGGTTACTATATGGTACCTATAGCGCAATGGTACCGGTTACTATATAGAACCGGTTGCTATGGTACCGGTTACTATATGGTACTGGTTGCTATATGGAACCGGTAGCGCTATTGTACCGGTTATGCTATGGTACCGGTTACTATAGGGTACTGGTGGCGCTATGATACTGGTTGCTATGGTACTGGTTATGCTATGGTACCGGTAGGGCTATTGTACCGGTTATGCTATGGTACCAGTTACTATATGGTACCGGTAGCGCTATGGTACTGGTTACTATACGGAACCGGTAGCGCTAAGGTGCCGGTTCCGCTATGGTACTGGTAGAGCTATGGTACCGGTCATGCTATGGTACCGCTGGCGCTATGGTACTGGTTACTATATGAAACCGGTAGCGCTATGGTACCGGTTACTATATGGTACAGGTACCACTATGGTACTGGTTACTATATGGTACCGGTAGCGCTATGGTGCCGCTTATGCTATGGTAACTGAACTCATTCGAGTGTACGATAGACGGATGGACGTAAAAGCGAAACTATAAAGCTTTCGGGCCTGAGTCACTAAATCCTAAAAAAAATATTGTAAAATAAAAAAAGCAATTAAAGAAAAATTATAAATAAAATAACAAAATTAAAAACATTGAATTTAAAAATAACAATAAATATTTTGTTCAATATAACATTTTTTTTTTTGAAAAATTTTACACAATTTTCGAATTTTTTATATTGACTCTTTTTGTCCCTTAATCCCAATTATAAACTTGTTTTACAATCAGTATTTGTATAAATGGCAAATCAAAATACCCCCCCTCAAAAAAGAGGCTCCAAAAAGGATTTAATATATTTATCTGCGACGATCCTTGAGGGTGTCCTACTTCAAAAAGGATAAAGAGTGCCTCTTCGAAAACTACACATTCCTAATTACTTAATTGCACCTGTATCGTGAACCAACTTCCGTTCTTAATTACTTAAATCTGATAAACCAATAATTCCAATTAGCGCCTGTATCATCGATCGCGAAGCGTTATTCTTCCCAAATAAAGCGTCCTTGTAACCATTTGCATATTGTTCTGGGTGGTCCAAAACTAAAAGTCTCTTACTTTTCATCAGATTATATATATATAAATGTCGCTCCTTCATACTTGTCTCTTTATTTTCTGTTTTTGAATATTTTATCGACAACTTTAAAAAAAATATTTTTTCGTTTCTAACATGCCAAAATGTTTTTTCAAAAAAAAAAAAGAAAACGAAGAAGGAACTTAAGATCAATGATATGTGTATAAGTCATTAAATAAAACTGTGGAAAAAATCAGAAATAATTAACATTTTTTTCATCATTTAAAAAAAATCTAATTTCAGTTCAAAATTTAATTCCTGATGCATTTTCAAGTCGTTAAATTTTATCTCTTAATATATTCCGAATGAAAATTACAAATTATTGTCTATACTTAAAAAGCAAACGATTAATGAATTTTTAATTTAGCACCATCATGATTCGTTGAAGGGGACATTGAACGATTTACTCAGATGTGAAATTTTAAAAGTTATAAATATAACGATAGAATGAGATAAGAAAAATTTTTGAATAATTACATCGAAATTTTGAATGAAATTTCAACAAAAATAAAGAAAAAAAATTAAATCAAACATCACTATTATTAAATATTTTTAATAAAAAAAAAAAACAGATTAAAAAATTCTCAATTTAATAAAATTTTAATTGAAAAAAAATAAAATCTGTTTAGATGAAATTTTGGATTCTCCTACTTTTGTTTATTGGACTTTTCGTTAAGTTTAATCAAGGAAAGGGATGCTCCTATTTACAAGAAAAGGTAATTATTATGAATAGTAAAAATTTTAAAATTTTGCCTTTTTTTTGAAAACATTGTGCTAACATTTAATTTCTAATTTCAAGTGTGAGTCCTCTGATGAGTGCTGTTATACTATCACCTGTCCGGTAATAAGAAAATTTCCTAGAGAAAATTTTAATTCAATTAAATTATTTATAATTCAATTTGACATTTAAATTTTGATTTTTCATTTATTATGAAAAGAAACCTAATATAAAAAAATTTTGTTTGAAATTTTAAACTTTGTGTCTATAATTATAAATTATTATAATAATTTTTACAACAAAAATACGGTAATAATTGACAAAAAAAATTAATTTCAAATTTCAAGTGTATAAACGGACGCCAATGCTGTCACAATGTTATATGCGATGTGTTTCCTAAGACGAGCCATAAAATTTGTCAATTATCAAAAGACTGCATTGAGAAGAAATGGTAAATTCGTACACTGTTATTACTCAAATTTAAAAAATTTCAAATATAAGTTGAAATTTAATTTTCATTAAAAAATTTTTTAAATTATTTTTTTTTTCTTTAATTAGAATAGTGAAATTTCTAATCAATTAAACGTTTTTTATTTCTTAGTGAAGTATCAACGATTTTTATAGCAGACAAAATCGATCCTGTTACTCCAAAATCCGAACTTTCAATTACTTCCAATACTGTATCTACATATCTGACGTCTCTAACTGTAATAGTGACTTCTCCTGATAAATAATTACAAAATAAAATAAAAGTCTTAAATCATCTTAAAAACATTGCATTGTTTCTTTCAAAAAAAAATTTCCAAAATGAAATAAAAATTTACATTTAAATAAGGATAAAAATAATTTCACAAGTTAAAAGAGAAAAAAAAAACAAACAAAAATGAAGATAATGAAAAAAAATTAATTAAATATTGACTTAAATTTAACAACTGAAATACATTAAAATTTCCAAAAAGGAAAAAAAATTAAAAACAACATTCCAGTTTTTAAAACGTAAGATAAATTGTTTATACAATAATAAAATGTAATGAATAATTAAAAATTTTTTCTGAGTAGGTATATAAACTGTGAGAAATTTTTATTCGACATCAATTTCAGGTTTTGCTTTGAAGAAGACAATCAATTTCAACAATAATAAAGAAAGGTAAAATTACTTGTCTTAATAAAAAAAAAAAAAAATTCTCAATTTAATTGAATTTAAAATAAAATAAAATTTTTTTAATTAGATGAAATCTTGCACTCTTTTACTTTTGTGTGTTGGACTTTTCGTCCTAGTCAACAGTCAATGTGAAGAGGAAGGCAGACGTGTAAGTTATTAATTATTACTATTTTAAAGATCTCAAAATTATAAAAAATTATTATTTAATTAATAAGAAATTTTGTCTTTAATAATTTTTATTTCCAAACCCACTGAAATTAAAAAATATTTTTATCACTAATTTAAAGTGTCGAAACGATCGTGATTGCTGTGAGAATCTGCGATGTCAAGATAGAAAATGTGCAAGGAGAGAGGGCGGAGGTGATTGCCAAAGAGAGGGACAACGCGTAAGAACAATTTATTAATTAAAAATTCATGTTAAATATTTAATAACTCAATTGAAAATATAATCAAAATAATTCTTTTATTAAATACCAAAATTTGAAATAATTTTAAATAATTATCAAATTTTAGTACAATGTAAAAAATTTTGTTATAAAAATCCTTTTTTAATTAAAAATAAATTTTACCTCAAAAATAATTTTCTATTTTCAAAATACTATAATTTATAAAACATTTATTTTTGCAATTTCAAGTGTCGCAATGATCAAAATTGTTGTCGGAATCTCCGATGTCATGAGAGGAAATGTGCAAGAAGAGATGACGGAGGTTGCGAGGGAAAACGGGTAAGAAATTTATAAATGTATAAAATAATTTATGTAGATGTAAAACCAAATTATTCATAAATAATTTAAATTTGATAAATAATTGATTTCTAATTAATTTAAAAATTGTTTTGTTTTAATTCAGTGTCAGAATGACAGAGATTGTTGTCGCAACCACCGCTGCAATGAAAGAAGGCGACATTGTGAGAGGCGCAGGGATGAGTGAGCTTTTCAATTCTAATAGGACAATTTTATATTGTCCAAACGGTTTGAAAATATTCAAACGGACCAAAGAATGAAATAAAATTTAAATTTTTCAAAAATTTCATTCTGTAAAGTTAATATATAATAATAAAGATAAAATAGAAAAAAAATTCTTTTTTAATTTTATTTACCCTTAGATGAGAAATCATTCTGCTCTCGGCCGGACAATAGTAAAACTTACCTGAAAATGAAGAAAAAAAATTTGAAATTTTTAAAAAGGACATAATAAAATTATTTTTGGATAAAAAATTTATTTGATTCCAATAATCTTTTACTTGACTATCAAATAAATATTTATAATTATTATTTAAGTCAATTAAAATTAAAAATTAATTTATATTAAATACATAAATTATTTATTTTCAATACTGAAATTATTTATTTAAAATATAGAAACTATTGATTCGATTAATAAATAATGAACTGATTAATGAAAAATCATTAAAATAAATTAAAAAATTTTGCCTCATTTCAACTTAATGTTTACTAAAATAAAAAATACAAGATTAAAAATATTCTAAGATTGTGGCACCGCAACCAGAGAAATGTTTTATTTGAACTAAATACAAAATATATTTGAGTTAAATAAACGTATATTTTAGAGCTGTGCAATGTTCGAATCGAATCGAATTTTGTTCGGTTTTTAATGACCCTGACTCGAATTTCGAACTTTCGAAACTGGACTAACTCGGATGTCGGATTTTCGACATTCGAACTAGACGGACTCTAATGTCGAATTTTCGACATTCGAACTCGGCGTAAAAATTCGAACAGTTCGGTTCGATTTATTTTGCACAGGACAAGATTTTTTCATTTTCCAGGAAAACATTCTATCTAAAAAAATCGAAAAAAATTGATTATTCTTATTCTATTGCAATTTAGGTTCAATTAGTAGGTTTTTTTAAGTAATACGTGTTGTTTGAAATTAATACGAGTTGTTTTAAGGTAAAAAAATAATAGAAACATGCTGATTAATTTTTTTTGACTTTAAAAGGTATTTTTTCATTTTCCAGGAAAACATTCTATCTAAAAAAATCAAAAAAAATTGATTATTCTTATTCTATTGCAATTTAGATTCAAGTGGTAGGTTTTTTTAGAAGGTAATTCGTGTTGTTTTAAGGTAAAGAAATAATAGAAACATGCTGATTAATTTTTTTTGACTTTAAAAGGGATTTTTTCATTTTCCAGGAAAACATTCTATCTAACAAAATCGAAAAAAATTGATTATTCTTATTCTATTGCATTTTAGGTTCAATTGGTAGGTTTTTTTGAAGGTAATACGTGTTGTTTTAAGGTAAAAAAATAATCGAAACATGCTGATTAATTTTTTTTTGACTTTAAAATGGATTTTTTCATTTTCCAGGAAAACATTCTATCTAAAAAAATCGAAAAAAATTGATTATTCTTATTCTATTGCAATTTAGGTTCAATTAGTAGGTTTTTTTAAGTAATACGTGTTGTTTGAAATTAATACGAGTTGTTTTAAGGTAAAAAAATAATAGAAACATGCTGATTAATTTTTTTTGACTTTAAAAGGTATTTTTTCATTTTCCAGGAAAACATTCTATCTAAAAAAATCAAAAAAAATTGATTATTCTTATTCTATTGCAATTTAGATTCAAGTGGTAGGTTTTTTTAGAAGGTAATTCGTGTTGTTTTAAGGTAAAGAAATAATAGAAACATGCTGATTAATTTTTTTTGACTTTAAAAGGGATTTTTTCATTTTCCAGGAAAACATTCTATCTAACAAAATCGAAAAAAATTGATTATTCTTATTCTATTGCATTTTAGGTTCAATTGGTAGGTTTTTTTGAAGGTAATACGTGTTGTTTTAAGGTAAAAAAATAATCGAAACATGCTGATTAATTTTTTTTTGACTTTAAAATGGATTTTTTCATTTTCCAGGAAAACATTCTATCTAACAAAATCGAAAAAAATTGATTATTCTTATTCTATTGCAATTTAGGTTCAATTGGTAGGTTTTTTTTGAAGGTAATACGTGTTGTTTTAATTAAAAAAAAAATAGAAACATGCTGATTAATTTTTTTTTACTTTGAAAGGGATTTTTTTAGAGCTGTGCAATGTTCGAATCGAATCGAATTTTCTTCGGTTTTTAATGACCCTGACTCGAATTTTGAACTTTCGACATTCGAACTAGTCTGACTCGGATGTCGGATTTTCGACATTCGAACTGGACGGACTCGAATGTCGGATTTCGACATTGGAACTGGGCTGACTCGGATGTCGAATTTTTATAATTCGAACTGGGCTGACTCGAATGTCGAATTTCCGACATTCGATCTCGGCGTAAAAATTCGAACAGTTCGGTTCGATTTATTTTGCACAGGTCTAGTATATTTGTTTCACAGCCTACTAGCCTACTTATTTAGCGTAAATAAAATTTTTTAATTACGTCAAATAAAAATTTATTTAAATCAAATAAAAATCAATTTGAATCAAATTAATGTTTATTTTTACTCTGAGACAATTATTTTATTGTTCTGGGTTTATTGATTAAAATACTTGATTACTTGACTATTATCAAATAAATATTTAGTTGAATCAAATAATTTTTATTTCAATTAAATAAATTGTATTTGAACCAATAATATCTGTATTTGAACAAAATACCATCTCAAATAATAATTATTTGGTTTAAGTAAATATTTATTTGATAATAATCTAGTAACAGATTATGTGAAACAAATAATTTTTTTTCAGTGTACATATATATATATATATATATATACGTAAATATGGAGAAAATTTAGAAAGTGGAATAAAGATTGAAAATTGTTGGGAGGTCGAGAATTTAAACTCACACGAAAACATTTATTTTCGGAATTGGAAAGAGATGAGATTTACAAATGTGTGCTTGCAAATTATGAATATATTGCGTCGCCTGAAGCACACCCGCAATGAGAGCCGTGCCAAGCTACCGCACACAATATATAATTTTATGGCTCCACTTGGCACAACTCAAGAGATCGCGAATGCTCAGATTGTTTGCACATGCATGTACCCGCACACACAATGCTCCAATTCCCGTTGTCTGGAGAGCAAAATGCCCGAGGAAGATTAACGACCACTCGGAAAGTGTCTGCTTGGACTTTCGGGGTTGGTGTGTGCAATTTTTTTTTCTTTTTTTTTCAAGAATATCGTGCAAGTGCCTCTGGCATTTTTTTTCCCTCAAAAATTTCTCTCTCTCTCTTACTGTGTGTACCCACCACTTTTTTTCTGTACAAATATTTTCGTAAAATATTACTCAAAATTAGAGGTTTATATAATCGACACCTTTTTTTTTTGAATGATTACGAATGTTTTTGGAAAAAAAAAAAATTATGATATAAAAAGTTTTTTTTTTTTAATAATTTAGTTAAAAATTTTGATAAAAATCGAATTGTGTTTAAACATTGTTCGCGGTTAAATTAAAGTGGTTTTAATTGTAGTTCCCTACGCAGAAATGGTTCGCAATGGAAGGGGAAGAGAGCGCGTGGAAAGAGATGAAAAGAGAAAGAATATTTTCTCTACTTGGCCACGCGACAAGTAAATTAATATCATTTTTATTATTAATAATAAAAATAATAATTTTCTAAAAACTATTTTTTAAAATTAAAACTTTTATTAAATCACAACAAAAATTTGTGTCAATAAAAAAAAAAGAGTAAAAAAGATGATTTGCTTTGCTTGAGCGATTCAACCACGCGCGCTTTAATCGACGGAATCATGGCTATTAAAGTAGATCTTATTTTTCAACAATAAAAAATTTTTGTTTTTACATCCTTGACAAATTTTTTAAATTATCCACCTAGGTACTTGAAATTCTCGAAATTGAGTACTAAAAAAAATTATTGAAATGAAACAAAAAAAAAAATAAATGTATAAAAATTTGTTTTTTTTTATAGAGAATTTCCGAGTTTGTTTTGAAAAAAGGAGATCAAAGCGTAGATTTCTAATTTTCACCACTGACAATCTTTTCACGGTAAAAAATGCAGCGTGTAAAATCTGTTGGTCCAAGTATAATAATCGTTTGCTTGGTGCCTGCCCCCCCCCCCTTCACCTTTAAGTCATTACATGAATAAAGAAGAAAAGTAAAGGTGGGATCGGTGCCAACCTAATACAATTTTCAGGGTGGTCTAAAGGCATTTCCAACAACACTTCTGTGAGAGATATACATTTTAACGATGGTATCCCTTCTCTATACTGTGCCGCATCGACTTTCGATTGTCGCGATTAAGATCTTTCGGAAGCCTGCTGCAACCTGGTAAAAATCTCACTTGGATTATGACACCGATCTCTCCTGTCAGTGAAAAAAAAAAAAAAAAAAAAAAACTTAACGGTAACCTCTTTGATTATTAATACACATACAAGAACCAAAAAAAGTGCAAAGTAACATTATGTTTGCCCTAATTAAATATTAATATTCATTTTAAATTCATTTCGAATCGATTCCTTTGGGCGGCTGATAATGAGACAAAAATCAGTGATTTTTTTCATTTGAAAAATAAAAATTTATTTGATTTAAATAATCATTTATTGTTGACTATGTGCTAAAATAAATATATTTACTTGAAGCCAGCTAATTTTTATTTGAATTAAATAAATAATATTGCTCTTTGAGGAATAATTTAAAAAAGAATTACAATCTGATTTTTTAAAAATGTTTTTCAGCAAAAGTAATTAAGGTTTTTTTTGCAACCGGTACCATAGCAACCAGTATCATAGCAACTGGTATCCTAGCAATTGGCACCATAGCAAACGGTACCAAAGCTAACGGTACCATAGCAACCGGTACTATATAGCAACTGGTACCATAGTAATCGGTACCATATAGTAACCGGTACCATAGCAACTGGTACCATATAGTAACCGGTACCATAGCAACTGGTACCATATAGTAACCGGTATCATAGAAAGTGGTACTATATAGTAACCGGTACCAAAGTAACCGGTACCATAGTAACCGGTACCATAGTAACTGGTACCATATAATAACCGGTATCATAGAAAGTAGTACTATATAGTAACTGGTACCATATAGTAACCGAAACCATAACAACTGGTACCATATAGTAACCGGAACCATATAGCAACTGGTACCATAGTAATC